ACAAACATTTGAAGGAACTGAGGAATTCTAGAGCATCTTCATCATTTGGATCAAACTCTTCACTCAAGCACATATTCAATACTTCACGGTCTTCATGTGTAATGAAATCTCTGAAAGACTGCAGCAAATCCTCTGGTTCAATAGCTTGTTCTCCAAACAGGCATGACATCACAAATAACTTGGACAAGGAGAGTGGAAAATATTTACAATGCAAATAGCCATATACAAGAACTCTTGCTATTGACTCCCACTGGGGCTTTTGTAGGTCAAGTCTAATATAAGGAATTTTCTCAGTACTTCCAACAGCATCACCCATAAAAATTTCCTGCCAAAATGCTGTGAATACATCTAACAGAACTCACTTTCCTTTGCCTTTTTCCACTTCGCCACATTCATCATAGACAACAAGATCAAGGTGGCACATTAAAATATCAGGCTGTGAGAATAATTCAATGATATATTTTCTGATATTTGTGCGGAAAATAACAGCTAACTTAACAAAAGACACCTCATTGTCATAGTGAGGAATGTCATTTTCAACAATTTGAAAAGCTGCAGTTTCACTTGACCCTGCAGCAGGCTGACTGGTCTCTTGGGTGGTCCGTGGTGTTTGTTGATTAGTGGCTTGGGTGTTTTGAGCTGTTGGTTGACTAGTTGCTTGGATTGTCTGAGCTGTTTGTTGACTAGTGGCTTGGGTGGTCTGAGCTGTTGGTTGACTACTTGCTTGGGTTATCTGAGCTGTTTGTTGACTACTTGCTTGGGTTGTCTGAGCTGTAGGTTGACTAGTTGCTTGGGTTGTCCGAGCTGTTTGTTGACTAGTGGCTTGGGTGGTCTGAGCTGTTGGTTGACTTCTTGCTTGGGTTATCTGAGCTGTTGGTTGACTAGTGGCTTGAGTGGTCTGACTGGCTCGTTGAATACCTTGACCATAACCTTTCATAAAAAATATAAATTATTGTTTTGGTTATTACATAAACAGTAGTTTGTGGGCAAAGGGAGGGAGCAGGCCTCAGAGCAAGCCTGTACCTAGAGAAGGCACAGAAGGGTGCAAACCCAAACCAAAAGGTACACATTTTGGTTTTAACACTATGGTTATTTTTCGCTCATATACATTCTCAAAGCACTATAAATAACCATGACAACAATCTCTGTTTAAATATAGCAGTTATGTATGTTATATATAATTTTTTTTTCACTGTAAACTCATCAGATGATTTCCACTACTATTTTTCATTATGTAGAAAGGTGTAAACTGTATGCAAGAATATATGTCAAAGTAACAATAGCATTAAGTAGATCATCAGGGTAGATGTAGTCCTGAGAAGGGCTCTTTGATACAAGTCTTTAAAGTAAATCTCAAAAGAACATCAGATAGTGTATATATACACCTGGATGATTGGCCTACAAATTTTGCCAAATTGTCACTTTGATAAGTACTATTTTGATTACCTGCATGACTGTTTGAAGAGACTTGGATGGGCGAGTTAAGGAAGATATCATCATCATCTTCCTCATCTAGTTTATGATAAAATACTAGTGTCAATTTAGGAAAGATAAATGACACTCATACTAAGGAACATTGCACCATCTAAATCTGTAAATCACCATTTAAATCTGTAAATGAGAAATCAAT